GGTTAAATCCGCTATGCGCGTTACACGAAATGAAATCCGCGTTAACATAAAAAACAAAGCATTATACTAAAGTGGATTCCCCCTAACTTGACAATCAAAGCGAGGTTTATTATGTAAAATTCAGCGCAGGTTTCATCCTGACCTAAAATAATTTTTTAAGCCCATTTATTTTTTTTTGGATTAGTATGGCTGTAGAACTTTAGTCAGCAATCCATGATTATGAAAGTATGCACAATCCAATCAGGGGCACAGTCGCATAACCTTCCAACATGAGTTTAACATAATCACATCTCTCTAACTATAAATTACGATTACGTATTGTACTTTTTATTTGTAATTTCTATTATACTTATAACTAATAAAAGAAAAGGAATAATAAAAAAACAAAAGATAAGCTTTTTATGTAAAGTGAAACGGAATAAAGTGACAAATAAATTTCATTTAATATCATTAAATATTATGGTTCATTTATAAATTTGTTTACAGATCTGAGATCGACGCGAATATTTAATAATAATGAACTGGACTTGCTAAATACATACTTTAAGTTGGAAATTGATTTAATATTAAACATTAATTTTTCATCAGCAGTTTCCTTTTTAGGAGATTGTGTTACCGACACAAAAATATGTAAAGCCAAGAACGCCAAGTTTGAAACCCTTACTAATCACAGATTACATAATACGTAAAAGTCTAGCGCTAGCCTATTTCTCCAAAGGTATTTATTTTACTTCCAACTACAATATTGTAATCCTTAGTACCTAAGTAAATATGTATTCAGGTATGTACTTATATAATTGGTGTTTTGCTTGACTTCGCTATTACATGTAACTTTATTTAGTAATTTTCCGAATCTTTAAATAACCACGCATTATCTTTTATCCGTATCATGATTTAATATGACCAAATGAATTGGTAGTAACACATTTTCCTGTTCCTATTGGTTAGTGCATGCTCAGTTGTAGAGGCCTGCATTGGGTCCTGTGGCACAACCCGGCCCGTTTGGCGGGCCGGGCCGGGCCACAAAAAATAGGTAATTTGCAGACCCTAATCGGTTGTTTATCACGTGATCCCAGCGATTTTGATATGGGAAGTAGGGTGTCTAGGATTATGCGGTGCGATAGGGTAGATTATGCGATGCGGTCGAGGTCAATTATTCGATGAATGCGAAATAAATTTAAAATTATGCGAAATAATTAAATAGAGAATGAGATTTTTAAACTATTCTGAAAAGGTTATTTATTTATTAAAATTTAAAAAATTCAACATTCTAATTGAATTTTCCGACAATGCATGTCTATTATTTGTTTAAATTTGCTTATAAGCTGAAAAGCTACATTCAACATCTACTCCTAAAACTGGTAACCAAAAATATACTAATGCAATTTTGCTAATATTTGGTAACAAATTATATTCTCATGCTAACAATTATTCAAATCAAACTTTTTACTAAATATTTTTGATAATCCTAAATAAATTATCCATTTACTAATAAGATCATTTAATGGATTTTTCAGTTTCTTAATTAATTTATATAATGTAATATTGCATTGGTTAATTTATACTTGCATATAACAAGGATTAATACAATAAATTGGTTTAAAATTTTGAAATACAGAATAATTATTAACATTTTTATTAAATTTTTTATATATTAACTAAAATATTTTCTTAAAAATTTCATTGTATAATAATATATCATATTGGTATATTTGGTAAAAATCTGCTATTTTATTTAATTTTAAGATGTTGATAATTTGAATTTAGATGAGCATATATTTACTTTAATCTGTCTATAACAAATAGTATTATTAATTTATTCTAAATTATAAAAAATTTAAAACTATCAATCAGCTTATATTTATTTAATATATATATAATTTATTTAGTAAAATATTAAATTATAATACAAATAAATCTGTTATTACTTATAATTATATATTATAAATAATAAAATAAAGAATAAATTACAAGTAAAATAAATTATCTTGATTTTCAAAAACTTTTTTAATTTAAATTTGTAGTATTATTTTTATTTATCTTAAAGTTTTTAAAATAAAAATAACTAAAAATATAAATGATTATAGATCTAAAAAGCAAAATTGAACTACAAACTCTATCTAATTTTATAGATAATAATGAAAATATTAAATTAGAATAATTATTTAAAATAAAAAATAAATTTTATTATTTTTTATTAGTTAAAAAATATATAAAAGTTAATTTAAAAGTGAATAATTATAAGAATTGAGAAAAGATTTAAAAAATTAGTAAAAAATATTTTATATAAAAAGAATAAGTAACACTAAGGTTCTAAAACAAAAAAAATTAAAGAGTATATTAAAAAAATATTAATAATTAATAAAAATTATTAAAAATTATTAAAAAAAATTTTCAATAAATTTACTAAAAAGATTCAAATAGACAAACTAATAGAAAAAAATAATAATCAAAGAAAAATGTTTACAAAACTAGCAGAAAATTTAATTAAGACAAAAGAATATTTTTAAGCCTAATTAAAAATAAGATATTTTAAACAAAAAAATAATTAAAGAAAAATGAGCAAAAATATATAATCTAAAAATACAATAAAAACAAATTAGTATAAAAAGTTAAACTGAAATATTATAGAAAAAAAACAATTAAAAATATTAGCTAATTCAAAAAAACATTGCATTATATATAATAGAAATTATATATAGTTTAATCCAAACTGCAAGTACATAAACTTAAAAAAATTTAAAAAGTTTGTAAAAATATTTATTAAAGTAAATATAATATTAAAAAAATAAAAAATAATATAAATATATTTAATTCTAATCAATAAGATTAATAATATAACTTAAATAATATAAGATCTATTACATTGCTAAAAACATTTAAGAAATATATAATTAAGAGGTTTACTAAAAACTATTACAAGTTTTCTGTAAAAAAAAGATATTTAAAAAACTTAATTTTGCAAGTTTTTTAAATAATTTAATTAAAAAACTAGTATATATTATAAAAAATATAAAAGATAATAATAAAAAACTATAATTGGTACTGTAGAATATTAAAAAAATATTTGATTTAGTATTACTAGAAGTATTAAAATTAGTAATAAAAAGAATCAAAATTTTTATTACAATTACATTTATACTAAATTTGTTTTAAAATAAATAAATCAAAATCATTATATACTAAAGTATTGCAAAGATATTTGAAGTTAATAATAGAATTGAGCAAAATAAAGTTTTATTTTCTTTAGTTTGAAAGATTTTTTATAATTTATTACTAAAACAATTTAAGAGAATTGCAATTTGAAGTATATATAACTTTCCTGGCTAGTCTGATACAACTCCCAAATTCAGATACATCTTCAACCAATATAACAGACAACTTTTGAACACTTATAGAAAGAATCAAAGGATGTTGAATCAGAAAAATTAAGTCAAAATTATATAACTTATATACAAGAATCTTAATAAAGGTTTACAGCAAGACTGTCAAAGTTAAAAAAAATTGCTTAATTTATGTATGATACATTTCAACCATTTATATCAATAATATATGTATTTCAACTACAATCATATCAATAAATTTCGGTATTACTGATATACAAAATAGCTACCAGCATATTAGCCTGATCATAATTAGTTGGAACGAACAAATATTAAGTTTTAACAATTTAGGGGTTTCGGATTTGACAAAAAAGGTTTCGTTACCCAACTCTAGTATAAATAAATAAAATTCGGAATACTGAATGGCATAATTCATATGCCATTCGACATTAATGAGCTATAATGGGTAATAAAATTTCGTTATTGACGATTGACGAAAATGGAAAACTATAAGGGGAATCGTAGATATTTGTAATATAATTTTAATGAAAGCTGACTCCCTCCTTCCTCAACGTAAGACATTTATGTTAGCTGATCTTATACATTCTTTATTAGTCATATAAGAGATACTAGAAAATCAGAGGTCCGAAGCAAATTAGCATTGTTACACGGACTTCGGATCATCAAGGGAACATCCAATTCTCAATGTTTATTTTACTAGTATGCTTCGGATAATTATGTAATAATGAAACCTATGACGTTATTTCCTATTACAGTGTGTAATGTAAAGTTAATTCATTATCCATATTTACCTACGTAACACTTACCTATCGCTAATGATTTGCATTCGATAGATCTAACAAAGAAAATTACCAATAAAAAAATTTCAGATTCATTGTAGGCTACAATTGTTTTTTAATTTTTGACGATTTAGTATAAAAACCGGTTATTTCTCATCTGCAATATCTGCTACGAAATAACTAATTTATCCAGAGATCGTTATCCCTTCACCGTTTTGCTGGAATTTGGCTGCAAATCTCCATAACTGATCTATGATCGATGAGCTATCAAACTATATTTGTATCGTAGTCTATATAAGTTTCGATCCCGTGAGAGTGTATAAAATCCATGAACACAAATATAAATTTAATATGAAAAGATGAAACCCGCGCAAAGATGATAACTTCCTTGATGCAGATCTATACTTAATTAGGGTTAGTTACGTTTATAAATTATAACGATACGAGTTACGACGGTTTTTTTACACCTGATCTTGTAATAATCGTTGTCGATCAGTAAAAATCTGTAGGTGAGTGAAACCTCGTAACTGGTTTTCACTCACGCGCTCAAATAAATTATGTGTACACCATTGCACAAGATTCATATACTTGACTAACGTTAAAACGTGAGATTTAATAATCAGGAAAAGATGCAACAATAGGTTAAACAATAAAGAAAGGTACAACGGAATAAAATTTTTATCCAACCGAAATTTTGGTATCATAATAATAATTTGAAACAACCCAATTTTATTCATTATGTTTTTCGAAAAAAAATTTATAAATGCTAAATATAAATGCTAAATATAATGCCAAATATAAATTCTATTATGTACTGGAATTTGGGAACAGCACTGCAATTCCCTTAGAGACGGAAAGTAATAACATAATTCATATATTACTTGGGAATAATTCTAACATCCAAATTTTTACAAATAGTGACAGTTGAAGTAGTAACTTTAAGAGGTGCTTTCATGTCTACAAGTTCGACATCAAATTTTCTATAAAGTGAAGCCAATATAATTTTCATTTCCATCATTGCAAGATTTCTACCTAAACACATTCTTAAACCTCCACCAAACATTGAAAATGCAAATCTATGTTGATTTTCCATTTCACTAGCGTCGTAAAATCTTTCTGGAATAAATTTTTCTGGATCTTTCCAATGAAGTGGATTATTATTAATTCCACGAACATACATGATGAATAAAAGATCTGCTGGCCATTTATGTCCAGCTATTTCATCAGGTTGATCAATGTATCTTGAAACCATGCTGACTGTGGGCCTTATTCTTGACGTTTCTTTAATAATTGCTTCACAATATCTTAATTTGTTTATATCTTCCATCGTTAATGGTCTATTTGGATCATCTTTGAAAACCGTTTCGATTTCTTCCAATAACCTCTTTTTAACGCGTGGGTTATGTGAAATGTAATATAATACAAAGCAAAATGTATTTGAAGTCTATAAAAATTAATAATAAACATCATTAATAATAATATCATTAATAATTAATTATTAAAAAATCTTTCAAAATAATAACTCATTATAAATAACTCATTATTACTTACGGTATCTGTGCCAGCCGCAAATGCATCAAACATAATGCCACGTATTTCATCATCAGTCATTGGCCTTAATAATGATGGATCAACATTTTTTTGTGGTGTAGTTTCATATGGTGTGTTAGCAATGACCAAGGACGTTAAAAGATTATTTCTTAATTGTGATGGTTCAAAATTACTATTCTTAACAACTTTTTCAACTTCTTTTCTTCTTTTTCTAATTCTTTCTATCAATCTTTTATATACATAATCGAGTGTATGTACCATTTTATTCACACGTCCATTGATCAAAGGAAAATGACTTAAAAGTTTTGGTATAAATATCATTTGATTATCATCAAAGAAGGTACTTATGCATTCAACAAACTCTTCTGATTCCATTATCTCTTCTGTAACTTCGTTGGTCTTTAATTTATGATGATAATTTTTAATGGCAAATGTACGATCTCCTGTTGTAATTACAGAAATAAAATCATTTGTAAATCTACGCATCCAAGCTGCTGTGTCGACTATTGCTGAATTTTCATCAAATTTTCTCAAATTCATCCAATAATCTGTCATTTCTTCAAATAAATTATTAACTATTTTAACCGTTTCATCCGAATGAACTGCTATCTTAAGGGCATTTGAAAAAATTTGTCGATTAAATTTCCAAAAATTATAACTATGATTTAATCCGACTCCTTTATAATCAAGATCAAACATATCTAAAAGTCCATTATTGGCCGTTCTCATTAAATGTTTCCTTTGTTGCTCTTCTGATAATGGACTCATAAGTTTACCAACGTAGTCAGCTCGAGTAATTACGATTTGTCTATTACCAATAAGATTTAATTCAAATACACCATTTTGTCCATATTTTTTAGCCAATTTATAAAACCATGCATCAATATCTATATGAACTCGGAAAATTTCAAATGTTCCTATCAAAGGAATTGGTATTGGACCAGGAAGTGGATTCGGTCGAGTAAAATATTTGTAATAAAATCGAAATATGTAAAAACATATTGTTAACGAAAGGATTTTTACAATATCAATTACTTCAAAGGTGTTTAGAATTTTGTATAACAAATTCATGATTATATTTGTTTATACTATTTATTAATGAATGAATGTGTTTCTGATGATGGTTTTTTTCTGATGGAGGTTTTTTTTTTTTTGATGGAAGTTTGTTGTTAAAAAAATTCATCGCTTTGCCTTGTCTTTATATATTTTCGTTTCTAATACTGGAATAATAAAAAAATAATTAAATTAAATAAACAAATAAAAAAAAAACCATAAAAAAGTTATGCTTATTATTATTAAACTAACTTTAATCAGTTATTCCCAAAATAAACTAACCATAAAAAAAAATTTTTAAAGTTAATGATTCGTACTTATTCAGTTCAATATTGTTCGTTATCTACAACAGTATGAATATATCTATTTTTTATAAAATATATAATATGAATATATTTTTTTATAAAATATATATAATATGTAATATTAATATATTTTTAGAGTTGACAATATATAATACGAGTGGCGAGAAAGAATGTTAATTACGTTTTATGTGTCGCCGATCAGGGGATGAGAATCTGAAGTATGAGCTTCTCTTGGCTACGTTCAAGTATACCTAGTGTATCTCGCTCGATATTATCTAATCCGGAAATAATATATAAATATGGATACAGGTTGATGAAGTGCATGAAATTACGAAATTATACTTTCCCAAAACCAATGTAATCTCAAAGAACCCTAAAGAATTTTAACACATTTTTTTTTAAGGAAAAAAAAACCCCCATTTCAGGTTTTTTTTTTTTTTTTTTTACTATTGTTACTAAAATGGGTTGACAGCTCTAATCAGTGTACCGATAGAAACGGCTTGACCAGCTCGTTTGCCGATTAGTAATCTATCCTAAACTAAATATAAATGCAGTAATTCGGAAATTACCTTGGGTAACGAATAGAAATCTTGCACATGCTAAATCCGTCATCCATTTACTATTGATATCAGGATTAACCGACAAATATTCGGATAATTATCCGGATATTAATAGTAAAACGGAGATAAATGGGTTAACGGATAATGGATAGGAACTCTAATAACGAATAAATTTCTGGATTAGTAATGGGCTAAATTGATTAGATAATATATAGTTATTGGATGCGAAGCATCCAATAACAGGAGTTATTTAATGATATTTTTATAATTTCGTTTTTTTCTTGTGAACAAATAATAAAATTTAGAATTCAACATATCTATTATGAAAACTTCATTCCTAATTACATAATCACTAGATAATCATATTTACAAGAAATTTTATTCTACGTAATCAATCGTAATTACTAACGAACGCAAATATATATAATATTACTAATTCATAATCAGAACTAAAGACCAAAAAAAATTGCAACTGTAAATGATTGAGCTCACTTTCCCGAAGCCCATTTTTCTGACATACCATCTTACAATACTGACAATCCATTTTACTAACAGGACAGAAATAGGTCTGTCATTTCACCGAACATCAATTAACCGACAAGTTTATTTCACTGACAGTTTATTTCTCCGACGGTGATTTCACCGAAAAAGTAATTCTGGTCATTGTCGTTAGGGTCAGGCTTAAATGAATGTGTAATTTTTTAAAAAAACTTGTAGGTGAGATGATCTGTCAGTGAAATAATTGTCAATGAAATAAACTTATCGGTTAATTGATTTTCGGTGAAATGACACTGACCTATTTCTGTTTTTCTAGTAAAATGGATTTTCGGTATTACGACTTTAGTGAAATGGTATTTCAGAAAAATGGATTTCGAGAAGTTACACGGAACCATTGTAAATAACGCGAAATTTCACTATTAAAGCTAACTTCTAACCTTTAAGTAATGTTCCGAGTTGGTAAAAATTTTTCCAATCGATTAGTTGCCAACTATAGTTGCAACTAATCGACTTTTCCGATCATGTGACTAAATTTGTTGGTTGGCCAATCAAACTAAAGAAATCAATTCGAATAGACAGAATAGAGTTCCATTCCGGATGAGAGTGAAAATCCGTAACCAATCATAGCAAATAATTAAATGTATCCGGATATCCATTTACTATTGATATCCGGATAAACCGATCTGGATATCCAATAGATAAATGGATAAACGGATAATGGATAGGAACACTATCTCAGAATTTAACTAGTTGATGATTTAATCGATTAGTTGGAAAGTTAATTAAATATAAAATTGCATTAAATTTATGGGTTAGGTGCTGGAAAAAGCACAATTTTTTCAAAGGGGGGTTTTTTTTTTCTACATAAATCAATTTAGAATAAAATTAGGAACATTTTTCACTTGAGATACAAAATAATCGTATTAATAAAATTTTGCATTTTCTTATGATTTAGCATGTTATAAACATGTTATAAACATGTGTGATGGATCGGTCTTCGTAAAGACCGGAACTGGACGAGTAATGGAATGATTTTCAGTCCTCGGTCCATAACAGTCCGATTCTGGTTCAGAAAACGGTCCTACGGCCATAACATATCATGATAAGTACGTGATGGCTCGTAGCTGATAAAAAAATAATGAATAAATAAAAAGAAAATAACCGATGTAATTTTTTTCAACCTTTTTTTTCTAAAAACTTCTAAATTAGGGTAAAGTTTTTTAAAAATTTTTAAAGATTTACTAACCTGTTATAGTCCTATACATAATTTTATTAGTTAGTTTTGTATACTAAACTGTTTAGTATAAAAAAATAATCTAGATAATGAATTTATTCTATATTAAACAAAGTTTTAGAAAATGCAATTTAGTATATTCAGAATTAATTGTACTTATTCTAAAGTTAAAATACATGTCTGTATACTGGTTGTTTTAATTTATTATTTCAGAAATATAAATTAACTCAATTAGATTAGTTAAATTTCTGATAACTTATTACTATTTTTTAAAACTTAAGTTTTTAACTAGAACAAATATATTATTAGTATTTAAATAGTTCTATAATCAATTTTACTTTCTTTTTAATAATCAAATTAAAAAAAGCAAAATAAACAAATTTTATATTTCAAGACTAAAAAAAGATCATCTAATTATACTTTTAATATTAAAATTAACAACAATCAATACTAAAAACAAGTTTTTTTTTTTTTGTTTAAAGGCCGATGTTAATGGTGGCTAATGCCTTTATTGTGTTTTTAGTGAATATATTATTATTACTTATACAGGATGAGCATACAACTAGTCATATGTGTAACTTTTGGTTACCTATTTAAGTAGTCCACCCAAAGATTCTACACTAGCTGTCATACCTATAATCTACTAGGAGACTATTTAATTAAACACTCTGATTCCTATACTGAACTAGACAATTAGCATCCTGGTTTCTGTACATCTAAGTGCCATCTAACCCAACATTTAGCTTCTCTTCTGTATGTCTGTCAAGTCATTACACAATTATTTTCAGAGCACAACACCTGACTATAAAGTTCTGAAGGCCTCTCTGTTAACTACCTACTCACTCTACAGAACATTAACAGGGCTTACCCTTGCAGA